ATGGCTACGGCCGCTACTAGTTTCGCGACAACAACAACTACTACCTTTGTTATTACTACTACTGCTACTACTACTACTACTGCTGCTGCTGCTGCTACTACTACTACTACTACTGCTACTACTACTGCTAATACTACTACGAATAATAATAACAATAAAAAATAATAAATCATAACAATAACACAGTACTACTGATACTACTACAGCTACTGCACGACGACTTCTACTTCTACTTCTACTTCTACTTCTGCTACTGCTGCTACTGCCGCTACTGCTACTGCTACTATTACTACTACTACTACTACTACTATTGCTACTACTGCTACTACTGCTGCTACTGCTACTACTGCTACCACTACCACATCACTACAACTGCTTCTGCTGCCGCTTTTGCAATACAAAGCCGCACCTGGACGAGAGCTAGTACTGCTACTACTCCCTACAGTACTACCAATGGAGCAGTGATCTTCCAGGCTGGCAGCAGGGGATGTGACTTCTGCACGCACCTTTCCAGTTGTCCCGCACCTGCAACCTTGCTCAAGCCCAAGCAATCACAACTAGACCGATTTATTGTCGAAAGTTTACACCAGGCAGTCGCGCTCAGGGTTACAACCAGGCTTGCCCTCGACAAACATACCCGTCTGCAAGGGTTTGTAAGTGGGTCGCGGCACATGGCTATGCAAAATCAAGGTCAAACTCTCGGCGTCTCCATACATTCGCGGCCAGTGTAGAAGGCGTTCGCATGAGCTTGAACCCAGTTGTACACCTTGTCCCTGACCAGGCAACGGAACACTGTGCAGCACAATGCAAGTACGACCGCAACCACTCTCGGTCGTGCTGGCATGAGTCAGCCAAGCGTCTCGCACTAAACATATGCTCGGGCGAATGAGGGTAGATGAACTGGCGGCTCTGAGCCCATAGCATCTGACAGCTACAGTAGCTGTTCTACCTGCCAGTACGCAGTCAATGCCTGTAGTTCGGCCGCATCCATTCGAGCAGGTTGGGCATGGCTGACCTTCTTCCACACAGACAAGAGGAGCAGTCGCGCACTAGTCGCGCCATGCTGACCTCTCTGTGACCTCTGTGACTGTGTTCTGCAGCTTGGCATCTACAGCAGTCTACAGCCAACCATTCCGATCCAAGCTGCTTCGAGCCGTTCTCGGTCTCTTTAAAAGATAGCGTGACAGAGCGCAAGACAAAGTCGTCATGCAACGTCTGGACATCGATGACGAAGTTTACCTTCCTTACAAAAGACATTCAGGTGGAGCAACACATGCAACGTGGAGGGTATGCATGCAGAAAATCCAAGGCTCTCGAGCACACTGAGGCGGATCAAATTCTGAGTCCTGCTGCTGCGTGAGCTGCGACCGCTTCCGTTGCTCCTGCGCGAACACGTTCCACATCTCTTGAGCACAACAACGCCCCGGTGTCCTGCTGCTGCTTGAAAAATTCTCGCCAGGGGACGTGTGCTTATCCGACCTGCAGCGACGGTCTCTGTCCCAGCTCTGGCTCCGCACATGGCGCCGGAAATCGCCGGAAAGCCAAGCTGCTTAACGCCAGCACCTTGTGAAGCACGGCCGGACAATATCACACTCGTGTATCCGCGGCAAATGCGATAGTAGATCTTCTTGCAGAAGCTCACACTGTCATTACTACGCTGCGGTGACCTCCGATGATGCTGCTTGCGGCCAGGGAGCCCAAGATGTGGCGCATGTCCGAGGATTGTGCAGAAACATGTGTTCGCAATGTGCGATCGAAGCGGTCCCTTGCCAGCTGGGCTTGGGCATGGCACTAGCTCAACGGAAAATCTCTGAATCCCCTGCTCTGGAATGTTGTTCCATTGTGCCAAGCTGCACTAGCTCGGTGGGCCCAGTCCGCTCTGCAATCTCCTGTGCAGAAAAATGTTTAGTACGCACACACAAACACAGGTTCTGCAAAGCATCGCCGTTCGTGCCTGACTTATTCCGATCAAGTGCTCAATCGCCTGATCCGACCTGCACCGTGCAGTGTTTCACTTGTTCAGGACCGTGCTTGATGTATAGGGAAAGCCGTCCTCATCGATGGAACAGCAACATGAAAGAGCTCGGCATTGAACGAAATTCCGCTGGAGTCCTTCATCTGCAGGTGCATCGACCTCAGAGCATCTGGCGATGGACATGCGGCAGAAACAACCACACTGCTTCATCAAGCATCCCCACGCGCAGTGCGACAGCGGGCACTCAACACCAAAAGCACAAGCGACCTTGGAGGTTTGTCTCTCTGGGACGACTCTGCGATAAACTCCTGGAGGCGCTGCTGGTCACCTCTGGCTCAGCTTGCGAATCAAAGGAGTTCTGACACCCCTTGACTGTGGAATTTTTCCATGCCTGCGGCCACATAGCGGCTGAAAGGGGTTCCTGCTAGGGGCCGCCAAAACAACTCTGTGGATCTGCTGTAAAAGTTGAGGGGGGCGTTTTGAAAGGATCCAATACAAAAGCCGTTTCCCCGGTGTATGCTGAACTGCTTAGCCTGAAGTCAGATGGCCCCCGAAACAGATCTCTGCAGTTGATGGTTTCGATGGTGCCTGCTCCGAAGGGAAAGGGATGCTCAAACGAAACGAGCGCGCGGCCTTCGAGGCTGGGTTGGCTGCCAGATGCACCAAAGCCGCACATCAGCAGATCGGAGAGGCTGTGTGAGGAACCAATTATCCTGAAGTATGGCGTATGTGACAATGGGCCTTAAGCCGACATGTCAGAAGCGAAAGCATCCCGTCCTGAGGTCATCCGATAACCTTGTGGAAGCATCACAAGTCACAGCCAGCAGGCGCTGCGCAGCTGCACCGGAGCGCTCCGCTTCTTCCACCTCTCTGACCTGCAAGCAGAGGAGATTGGCAACTCCAGGATCCACTGCCGCCTAATTAATCTTTCTGTGGCAGTGACCTTGGCTTCCAATTGCATGTTGGCCGCGGCGATCTCATACTCTTTGTCATTGAGTGTGCCAATAGCCAATGCAGTCACACCGAGGGTTATGATCTCTGAGATGACAAAGTAAAAGAGATCAGCAGTCGCAGCGTCTGCCTCGAGTGGGAGCTTTCATGTCGACAAGCTGCTGCTGCAACCGAACCCGTAGAAGCACAACAAGTCGGTCCTTTTGCATCCAGTGCGACAGCACCCACCTGCAGAGATTTACGGAGGCTCATGTTTTTCAGATCAATTAGATTAGGACCATGCACGAAGAGAACTCAAATGTCCTAGAATGCCCTTCACAGGTCTTCAGTTACAGCCGCAGCACAAGGGTGCGATGAGGATATTCACCATGTTGGAGAACTGAGCATCAGAGCCAAAGCTGCCGAGCATGATCCGTGCAACATAGAGAATAGGCATCAGCTCCTGAGAACTGCGATGAACTACGAACTGAAAGGATGAACACAATCATTATGCTTGCTTGGCCACCACCGTCTCCAAACATTGCACAATCAAGGCTCTCTCGGAAAGCCCACGCTGGAAAGAAGGATCGCCAGGTACGTGCTGAGGGTGAACTGCTGCATCACTGAAGCCTGTACGAGAGTATCGTTGTGTAAAGCTGCAGTGCTCTATGGTTTAACATAGATCCCATCGATCTTGCGATCTTCGCAGCTTCCTTTTCCATCTGGACAACTGCAATACGAAGACGTGTCTGATACCGAAAAATCAAGACAGACATGTCTAAGTCCGTCTGGCAGCCGTGAGCTTGACACCTGGCTTGGCAAGCTTGTGCAGCGCAGGCACCACCACGAACCCACCTCCGAACAGTTGCCGCATGTTTTGTACGTCCCACATCTATCCCAATCCAAATGCTTCACAGAGGCTCTCGGACTCTCACTGCTAATCTAATTCTGTAATATGTTCTGCCGTTTCAAGAAGCCGCGGCGCTGAGGAAGCAAGGCAGCTGTGACGGGTCGCCCCAGGCAAAACAATTCACCTCAGCAGAGTCTGCTTGTGCTCTTCCCGTGTAAAGGAGGCAGCGTTTTCCGCAGGCCCTGACATCAACTTAGAGCACTTGCGTTCAAAACCGTGCTGCAGATGATCCTGAAGCTGGATCCAGGCGGCGACGCAGAAGTATGGAAGCCAAAATGCTTCAATCATGACCGACCAGACCTTGCACCACGACCCGCACTGCTGTCTGCCAAGCTTGAAACTCAGAGGACTCGCACGATATAGTCTAAAACAATACTTAAGACTTCCGAGAGACGCCGGCCGTCTCCTTCAGAAGCTTTTCACGTTTCTGGTGCCTGGGCAAGGCATCCCACAGCTCCACGATAAACTTGGATTTGAGCCCGGAATATGAAGATAGGAGGATTTGAGGTAGGTCGGGGATGAGGGAGTTGTTCGTCAGAAGTTTCGCAGCAGGCAGCCTCAATCGCTAGTGACAGCTAGCACTGGCATTAGTAGGCTGACAATACCACTGGTCGGGTAGTATAAATCCTGACAATAATGGTCAACGATACGAGGTTGTCACTAGTTCGGAGTCTCCCTCGTAAGTATCACGGTGATAGTATTCCTTGTAACACTCACACCGACCTATGAGTGAGCCTATGTCCTTCAACAGGAACTTTCGTTGGTTTCATTGACATGCCCGGCAGCCCCTGGCTCCAATCAACTGGCAATCTGGGACCCCAAAGCTGAGCCTGAATGTGCTACGATGAATCCTGACGAAGTGTGAACATCTGGAAGCAAAAATAACAACCGAAAGCTGGGCTCTCAGGAGCTTGCGGAATCCACATCAACCCGGAAAGCCTCAAGAATCAAACCGCTCGGAAAAGAGAAGCCCATGCGCACTGGCTGCAGGTTTTGTCTATGCGGTCCAAGATACACGGAAGCGAAAACTTGAGGGTCAGCTGGTCTTGAGTTGCTGGCTTCTGCGACCGACCAATTCTGGATTGTCTTGATAAAGTGTGGGAACCACTCTTGCCAGGAACACAGCCTCCAAGCACCATGCCATTGTTTCGCGCCAAGCGCACAAGCAGGGCTAAACTGTCATGGCCTCATGGCGCCTACAGACTTCACAGCATTACTAGGGCACCCAAGCAGAGCTTGAGGGAGCCTGTGACCCTGTCGCACCCGGCCTTGCCCTGTAGAAGTGCAGCACCACGACGCCCACCAAGCCAGTTAGCAAGGAGGACAACATGGGCGACGGAAGGTATACTTACAATCACCTGCGGCCTAACATTGACAATCAATGCCTAGCTCGCCCCTGTCACGTCACGACACTGCTCGCACTGAGCACTACCTTGAGCACAGCTGGCAGCCTGCACTTACTCGAACCAACACTTCACAGAAGCCTCTGCCCGTGCAAAAAAGTCTCCATGCTCTCTAAATCTCGAAACACATCAGATAGATGACCATGGTCGGGGCACTCCCATGTCCAACCCAGTGGACACGGCTTGCGGTAGTCGTGCTTCACGTCGCGGCAAGGCCAAAGAATCCAGCCTCTGGCAATTCTTCCAACGCTGCTCACGCACACCCGGGTCCACGTCACCAATCCAAAGGGATCAAGTCACGGCAAGAACATCCCGCATGAAATCCCTTGACAACTCAGGCAGTTGTGCCAGCTCAACAAGCAGAATCACCTAGTTCAGATTTATCTTCTTAGCTGAGGAGCACGAGTCATACAGCTCCTTCCTTTCCCACTCCTCCACAAACAATGCCGACAAGCACGGCGAAAGCAAGTGGCAAGAATGCCAGGTTTCCCCAATTGAGCACATCTCAACTGCAGCAAGCCCTTCCCGACACTGAGGCGAGCGGGGATGACTTGGCGTGAAGTCAACTGCTGCCGGCACCAATCGGATTCCTGAACGAAGCGAGCCCAAGGCGGACATCCACCTATGGTAACGTGAACTAAGCTGCAGCCGAAAGTGCCGTGTAGAAATTCGGTGGAGCTTGGCACTCAGGCCCTTGAGGGCCAGCGGGAGCCTGCATCAAGTGTAGGCATACTTAGGCACAGCTCTGCGAGGCGATGAATCTTTACGATATGCGTTCGGGCCGATGAGCTTCTGCTGTATTCACACGGCACTGTAAGAGTTCACAACTCTCTCTCTCTCTCTTTCTTTCGGCAGGGTTATGGACAGGAGGGGGGGACCCCCCCTGCCCGCGCGCCAGTCGGCGCCCCGCTCTCTCTCTCTCTCTCTCTCTCTCTCTCTCTCTCTCTCTCTCTCGCGCTATCGGGACAGGAGAGGCGGGCGAACCCTGACCCCTCCGCGCGCGAACGCGCACCCGCAGGTCAAGGCTCTCTCTCTCTCTCTCTCT